AACAATTCAAAATGGATAAATGCCTTGAATAGACTTCTTAATGAGGACATGAAAAGTTGCTCAACATCATTAATAATTAGGGAAATGCAAATCAAAACCACAATGAGACACCACTTTACACCAATTAGGATTATTATCAAAAAACAGAATATAAGTGTTGGCATAGATCTGGATAAATTAGAACCCTTATGCATTCCTGATGAGAATGTAAAATAATCCAGTTATATGGAAAGCAATAAGGCAGTTCCTCAAAAAAGTCAACATAGAATTATCACTTGAACCAGCAATCCCACTTCTGGGTATATACACAAAAGAACTGAAAAGCAAGGACTCAAGCAGACATTGGTATGCCAATGTTGACTGCAGCATTATTCACAATAGCCAAAAGATGGAAACAACCCAATGTCCATCAATGAATGAACTGATACACAAAATGTGGTATATACATACAACAGAATTATTCAGCCTTTAAAAGGAATAAAATTTTGATATATACCATAACATGGTGAACCTTGAGGACATTATGTTAAATGAAACAATCCAGACACAAAAGAACAAATACTATATGACTCCACTTATATGAGGTACCCAGAGTACTCAACTACATAGAGACAGAAAGTAGAACAGTGGTTAACACGGGATAGAGGAAGGGAAAATGGGGAGGCATTGTTTAATGGGTACAGAGTTTCTGTGTGGGATAATGAAAAAGTTCTGGAGATGGACAGTAGTAATAGTTTCACAACAATGTGAATGTATTTAATGCCACTGAACTCAACACTTAAAAATGGTTATAATGGTAAATCTTATGTATATTTTATCACAATAAAAAAGAGGGAAAAAAATGCTACTCATTTTAAAATAGAGATTCAAGAATTATGAGGTCAAATTTCCATCCTTAAGGAGATTCAGCTTTTCCCAAAGGCATGAATACGAATCCTAGAATTCCAAGAAAATTATTGCAAAGCCCCTATTTTCCAACCTATCACATACTGAACAGGAAACATGGACTGGCCTCTCTTCTTTTTGTGAGCCTTCTTGGCTCTTCATGGGAGACCTAGAAAATAATACCAAGAATCTACAATATTTGACAATAGGTAAAAAATCTTAAGAATTGCTTTTTCTATAAAGACAATGGCATAGAAAATGTTTCCTTCCAAACAAAGAAACAAAAATGGCAACCAATAATTACTGTCCAAGTGATGTTTTTGAAGGTGTTCTAGTCAAAGAACAAGGTGTTTGACCATATTAAACAATGGGTTTTTAATGCCTTCCCTGCTAAAATTCATTTTTTATAGCTAGGAGTAACAAGCAATTGCCAGCAAAGCTGCAATAGGAAAATCAAATATTCTTCCTATTTACATATGGTTCCCCGAAGCCATTCCTGATTAAAAATTGTACCATTTCAATCTTCCTACTGGAGATATCTATTAACTAGAACTGCATGTGAAAGCCAATGAATTTAGTATATAATTACACGTATCCTATACAAATTACTTCTCAATGACCTCTACTCATAAAAATAAACCAAAAGAGGGATGATTGGCTCATTATAAATCTACCAAGAAAATTTCCCTGGGAAAAGGTATTGAGAGCAAAATCCTGAAAGATCTTAAGCTTCAAATGAATTTAATTTCAGCAGGAAGCAATCACTTTGGTATCTGAATTCCCAATGCTTTTTATGCGAACCTCTCCAGTGGAAAGTAATACTCTCCAATTTATATCCCCACTCTTGTCACTAAGTAACTACGTGACCTTGGACAAGCCACTTTCCTTCTCAGTGTTTTCATCTGTAAAATGAGAGGCTATAATTGATTTCAAAAGTCTCTTCCAGACCTCATGTTTCATCATTTCATGATTATAATCACAAGTGCACACCTTACCTCATCTCCTCTCTCAAGGCAAGGAGCCATTTGATTTACCTTTGCAGTTCCCATACTGTCTAGAACAGCTAACTGAACGTCCCTTAGCAATTGCTCAACAAACATGTTCAAGGACACAGAAAACAATACAGTTCTCTGTAGTGTCCACTCTCTGTGACCCCCTTAAGCTCTTCCTAACTCCAACCATGATTTCAAACAGCTCTCTTCAACTCCACTTTTACCATAGTGTTGGCAAGATTATAAGGAGGCCAGAGAACTAAACATATATCACTTGTCACTAGGGAAGAAATCACAGGGAAGAAATGCGCCCACCAGGGAGTTTCAAGGCACATGCTTTGTACACCATCTGACCCAAAACCACACACAGAGTCAGGGACCTAGAGAAAGGTTCTGTTTCAAAGAATAAGCTAATCTAATGCATTCTAATTATCTCAGAGTATGTGCTAGAAAGCTACAAAAGATATGGGGGAGAAAAGTGAAGTTAGAGAGAGAAAGGATGGTGTCAGGACCTGCAAGAGAAAGCAAGGAGAACATTCCTTGAAGCTTTCCAGAAGGTAGACATTTTAAAAACCCAAATCCCCCAGGCAGCTACACTGCTGGGATAGAAATACCTGCTCATCATACACACAGGTATTAAGACTCTGAAGCCAGAATGTCTGCACTCAAATCCTAGCTCTCCTGATTAGTCACAGCATTACCATGAACAAGTTAATCATCCTTCCATACCTCAGTTTCCTCATCTGTAAAATGAGGATAACATTAGTACTTCATGACTACTTCATTCTTTCGGTTGTTATGAAGAAGATAAAATGAGTTAATACAGATAAAAAATGCTTATAACAATGCCTGCCACATAGTAGGAGCTCCATAAATGAAAGCTCCCAGTATTGCTATTATTATTATTATTATTAATAGATAGAGTTCTGGGAATCTCAGGGATGAAAAGAACAAAAGAATTACCCACACTGCTCTTACAAATTCAAATTCTGCAGTTCCCTCTTCCAGGTAATAGTTGCAAATATAAACATTACTATATTTGTATACTTTATCAGTCTTAACCACTCCTGACAAAGAAACCACTCCTGACCAAAGAAACTATTCATTAGAAATTTAAATTCCTTTCTGAAAGATATTCTAGGTTTCAAAAACTACCTGATCACCCACGCAAAGGGAGGACAATAGCACTATTAACCTGCAGGGCTGAGAGTAAGCAGAAGCACAAAGACATCTTTGTAGCAGTTTGTGCTATCACATACCACTGCTTCAGTTTGGGAGAGTTGTCTCCTTAAGAAAGAAACTAACAAACTCCATTGTTCGTGCACATCAGAGTTCTTGGATGTGATAGTTCTTAAATCCCCAGCAAGTCCTTATTAAAGATCAGAGGATCTTGATTCTTTCCACTAGGACAGCATCAAATCTCTTCAAGCGATTTTCTTAAGTCAGCATCATTATTTGAGATGCCAGAGAAAATGGTGAAATTTCCAGCTGCTAAGCTAGTTCCTTGTTTTTTACTGAAGACACAAGGTAAAGTTAGTTATCCTAAGGAAATTTTTGAGACTGGGAAATTGTAAGAAATTTAAAGAGTAACATGAGATTTTTTTTTTCTTAAATCTCTTTTCCAAAACAGTCATTTTAGTAAACAAAAAACAAGTAACAACAATGAGAAAATCCAATTAAACAACTAGAGTTGTCGGAAAGAACAACAGCATACAAACTGGTTTTCCAAACATCTTTCAATAAAACAGATAGGAGAGCTGATACTGTGTCTTGTATTCCTTTGTCAAGTAATAATACTCAAAAGAAAGTCAGCAATAGGCTGGGCATGGTGGCTCACACCTGTAATCCCAGGACTTTGAGAGGCTGAGGCAGGAGGATCACTTAAGGCCAGGAGTTCAAAACCAGCCTGAGCAAAAGCAAGTCCTGGCCTCTACAAAAAATAAAAAAATTAACTGGGTGTGGTGACACACGCCTGTAGTCCCAGGTACTCAGGAGGCTGAGGCAGCAGGATCACTTTAAGTCCAGGTGTATAGGGCTGCAGTGTACTATTATGATGTCCCTGCAGTCTAGCCAGGGTTAACAGAGTAAGACTCTGTCTCAGAAAAAAAAGAAAAGTCAGCAATGGTCATGCTATCCTAGATATTTTCAACTATCTTTTTTGTAATCCTGTGAAACAATGGGGACCCTAAACACACAGAAACTGAATAATAGAATAAATAGGAAAATTTGGGTAGGCCACTAAAAGGTCCTAGCCTATGGTCTCTGTTCCAAAGGGACTAGATTTCAGACCACGCAAGAAAATTTTATCACAACAACCCTATGAGGTCTAAAACTGCAGAACTTAGGGATGAATGTATGAGTTGAAAAGAGAGGGGAGGGGAGGGGAGGGGAGGGGAGGGGAGGGGAGGGGAGGGGAGGGGAGGGGAGGGGAGGGGAGGGGAGGGGAGGGGAGGGGAGGGGAGGGGAGGGGAGGGGAGGGGAGGGGAGGGGACCATAGAACTGTGTAGGGGGCTAGAGAGTTTCCTGAAAATAGAGGACTGTCTGTTTGCAAAACCCACCTCAACTGCTTCTGGCAAGGAAGAACAGTAGCAAAAACTATATGAAACCAAGAACAAGTCCATATTTGACAAATCACACCCATCAAGATAGTAATGTCAACCATAATAAAATATTTTGGCAAGACTGGAAATGTGCACCTGTGGGAACCTGGAAAGATTTGACAGATTTTTGTTTTCCCGGCCCTTTATCAGCAAGTTAATTATAGCAACTGCACAATCTACTCTGAGCTTTAGCGAAAGACAGTTGGCTGTATGAAGCCAAGATGCTGCTCTCCTGGGCATGGGAAAGACAAAATGACAGTAGTGCTTACACACGAAAATATTCTGAGTATAGTATGACAATGAGCCAGATAGCACAGCTAAATGAGAAAGAGGTATATTCTGCAGACCTAAGGGTGAAACAAGCCTACAAAGGACATATGACACATACATACACACACGCATACTCATGTGCATGCATGCACACACACAAACATGCACATGTATATGCATGTATATCTCCAGAGCCTAAAGATCTCTGCTCACAGTACACCCAGGGCTGCTTTTCTCCCAAAGCAGACTGTACCTTCACAGCTATAACTGTACACTGCCACCGCTGACCTTTCCACCAGATTTTCATCGTGATGCCAGCTCACTGCCATTTTCCCCATGCCAAAATAAGGCTCCTCTTTCAGGTATGGCATTTTCTGAGGATCCATGAAATTCAGCAAAGTTACATTGTATGCTGCTCTGCTCTTAATGTCCACTTCATCTTGTCCGTCGTGGGAGGACCCCATGCCAAACCTGGGGAAATCTGCAGACATACACACCGGCACGGCGTCCTCATTAGCCTTCTCTTTGGAAGCGAGTTCTTCCAAAGCCTGGATGGTTTCTATCTGCAGGTAGTCATTGAGCTTGAGGAAGGTCTGACAAGCAGCAGCTATTTCAGCCTCGCCGTATTTTATATTAGAACCTTTCACTGGCCAGGGTACCGTGAAGAGTCTGGTGTTCAGGTACTTGTAGGTGTAGCCTGGGTTACCAATGAGGATGCGAGACACCGGAGTGAGCAAATCCTTGCCTTGGATCCTAACCAGGTCCCGAAATAAGCAGCCATGCTTGTGCAGCGTGAGAAAGGCTTCTTGAACCTCTTTGTGGAGATCCTCGGATACACTGCCAGCTTCTCGGAGAATTAGTTTAGGGTATTTCAGCTGCCACTAAAACAAAACCAAAGCAAAAATACACATTATGGACAGTTATAATTTTATTCTTTCCAAAGGTGTGTTTCTTTGTAAGCACTGGGGGTAGGGCAAGGAAATATCTGGTGACATGTGTAAACAGCATTCATATTTTCCTAGCTTAAAATAGAAAACTAAATAAAACAAATGCCATCCCACACCTTCAGTCAAGATTTTCAAGTTCAAGCTCAAACTATTAGCAATCTTTAATGTAAACAAAAAATAATAACAGTTTGGGCTTTGATCCCCAAGTCTTTACTCTGTGACCACTTTTTCTTACCCTCAATCTCTCTTCCAGCCTTTGGCCCTCCAGAAAACACAATTTTATTAATTAATTGCTTACCACCTATTTATTTCTCACAACACTATTAATACTAAGAACACAGTATTATTATCTCCAGTTTATAGATGAGAATACTGAAGCACAGAGACATTTTAACAACTTGCCCAAAGTCACACAGATGGTAAATATCAGAGTTGGAATTTGAAGCCACTGGGCTCCAGAGACTGGATGGCTCTAGAGCTTAACCACTGGATTGCACTGCCTCTCATGAAATGACAAACTAGTTTCTCCATCAGTACTTTCACTGAAAGAGAACTCAATTCTCTTTGGGAATTAGACATGAAGTTCCATGAACACAAGAGCCATGACAATTTTGTTCACGACTATACTAGCACCCAGAATGTACTCAGGACATGGTAAATGAATGGATGGATGGATGAATGAGGTATTCCACTGCAGTTCTAAAAAGATGTAATAATTCCACTGGTGTCATTGGAAAAGAGGAATACAAGACAATTTCTTCCCCTGATCCACAACTACATGAATTTATTGATGCAGTTTAGGGCTGCATTAGCTTTTCCACCACTACTTCAGGCTTCTTAGGAATTGACATATGAACTGGTGTCAAGCCAATTCCCTGATTCTGTATAATGATTTTTTTTTTAACCAAAGCATAGGATTTTACATTCAGCCCCTATACAGTTTAATCTGATCTGCTCCCTCCTAGCTTTAGGCTGATCCTGAAGGAAGGAGTCAGACATAATCCTGTCCTTGTAGTATTGTGCTGCCCACCATTTTTGAGATATCTTCTTTCTAAATCTTCATTCAATAATTAATGTTTATATGATAAGTAGGGCCAGATCATTTATACTTCTGTACATTTCTTTTCATTCAACATATGTTTCCTGAGCACCTACCAAATACCAGAGCAGAGCCTTCCACCAAATCAAGTAATTAAAAAGGAAAGCAATCCCAAATGGTGTTAAGTACTAGGACAGAAACAAACCAATAGGATATCCATTAGTAGGATTCTCTAAGGAGATGGCATTTAAGGAGAGACTTTTGGGAAAAGGAGGCACCAGATGTCTGAGGAGCTAAGAAATAGCTTCCTAAAAGGAAAGACCAAAAAAGCAAAGGCACTGAGAAAAAAGACCAGCCTATTCTAGGGATTTAAAAAAGGCCAGTTTTACTAGAGCGAAAGAGCTGAAGAGAGAGTGACGTGTAATAAGGATGAAGAGAAAGGCAGAGACAGGACCACAGAGAGCCTTGGAGTTCACAGTGAGGAACCTGGAATAGACTGTAAGTGCTCTGGATGATTTCAAGGGGAGAAAAATAACTTGAATTACATTTTATAAAATCAATCTTTATTATTATATCAGACAGGAATTGGAAAGGGGCAAATGTGAATGTGGAAAATCCTATTAGATGCTATTACAACCACCTAGGAGAAAAGTATGATGGTGTGGATTAAGGTAGAGACAGAGACAAAAGGACAGGATAAAGTACATATTTTAAACTAGAACAAAAGGATGAGGTAAAAGATTAGATGTGAGGAATGAAGAAAGGATAGATATTAAGGATGACTTCCATCCAGATTTCTGGATTTAATAATCAAATAACCAATTTCCTATATTTTGAAATAAGGAAAACTAGAATAAAATAGGAATAGTAAGAAGAACAGGGAGGAAAATGAAGAGTTCTGTTCTGGAGCTGTATTCACTAAGATACCTATGAAATCTCCAGGTGAAAATAACATGGGGGAACTGGATACACACATCTGGAGCTCAGAAGTGGGGCAGAGGGACTCAGTGTGGGAGTTGTCAGCACAGAGCTGGTTTTTACAGGCCTAGAAATGAATGAGATCACCTAGGAAAACAGTACAAATACAGAAAAGGAAGCAAAGCTATTTCCTGAACCATAGAAGAATGCTCACCAAATGAGACCAAGCATAAAACGAGGACAGTGTATTAATGCAGAGGCTAAAAGAGAAGAGCATTTCAAGGATGAAATAGTCAACCACGTCATCTGCCACTGAGAGGTCAAGTGAGATGAGGACACAGATTATCCACCAGATTTGACAGCATGGAAATCACTGATGACAATGACAAGAGTGATTTCAGCAGAGTGTGGTGGGGATGGAAGTCAGATTAGAGTAGGCCGAAGATGGAAATAAAGAGGAGGAAGTGGAGATGGCATGTCTCTGAATAGTTTTGCTATGAAGGAGAACAGAAAAACTGGGGCTGATGATGAATGGGAATGCTACATCAAAGGACATCTTTAATGATGGAAGAGACTAGAGCACACTAGACTTTGTCAGTACACTCATGAGAATGACACAACAGGAAAAGGCTGATGATGCAGAACAGAGGGTAAATAACCAAAGGGGCAAAGACCTTGAGTGTCTAGAGCAGTAGACTCCCAAGTGAGGTATGCAGGGATTTATAAGCAATCCCTTAGAGTTGGAGGGGTGCAGAGAATAGCAGAACTATTTAATCTTTAATCTAAAAGAAAAGAAATTAAGCTTCATAAAAATATGCATGCATATATATATATACTATATGTACCTATACATACATACAAATATGTTTAATATGAGTACTATTATTAGATACAAGTACTGTTTGTGAACTTGTGCCTATTTTGTAAATAACTACCAGTGGTGTGGTAGAGTCACTTCATATCTGCTCACAAGAGCCTATTGACATCTCTTCCCAAATACACATTCATTAACACTATGTTGGTAACTTGAAATTGGCCATGGTGCTAGTATTTACACTACAGAAAACAAGAAACACTAAAACTTGCTGGGCACGGTGGTTTGAGCCTGTAACCCCAGCTACTCAGGGGGCTGAGGAGGAGAATCACTTGAGGCCAGGAGTTCAAGGCTGAAGTGAGCTATGATCACACAGCTGCACTCCAGCCTGGGTAACAGAGCAAGACCCTAACTAAAAAACAAAAACAAACAAAAGAAACACTAAAAATCAAGGCCTGACAAGAATATGATCAAAAACACTTGGATAGGAGAAAAGATATTTCCTATCTTTTCCAAGGAAAGATATTCCTTGGAATATCCTTGAAGGAAGAAGATATAAATTCAGATAGGATGGCAAATTTGACAATAGGCAGATGAGTAAGTTTCGGGGGGTTTTAGGGGGGCATGTGGGGGAGGTTGGAGAACACTTAAATTTTCTCAGTGAAGTATAAAGTATAAATCACTAGCTAAGAATGTGTGCTAATCATTAGAGTTTTTGTCAAATCTGGGTTCCTCCCCTGTCACCCAGCTTTTGGGTCCAATGTAGAATTATACTTCCTAGCCCCTCATGATGGATGAAACATGTGATTACCTTTTTGCCAGTGAGAAACGATGGCTGTCACTTTCAGCCTGGAACAATTCACTGCCAGTGCAAGACCCTGCAAAATACTCTTTTTCCCTATGCCACAGTAACCAGCTGGTGGCTGCTTGTATCTATGAGCTGCTTTAATGGGCAGTGACTCTATGCCAACCCACAAATAATACATAACATGAACAAGAAATATGGATGTGTGAAGCCACTGAGATTTGGGGGGTGTTTGTTACTACAGCATAATCTAGCCTATTCTGGCTGCTCCAGAGTGAAATAGAAGATATGCAGAAAATAATAATGCACACACACACGCCAACACACTCATGCACACACACACACATACTGGGGCTCAAGACTACATAAGAGATATATTTAACACAGTGATGTTATAACCCTAAAAACCTGGGAAACACAAATAACTTATAAATATCACATATAAATACCCTGACATTAAAAACAGCTTTATAAAAAGAAAATAATAAGAAGAACATGGAAAAGTATTCAAAATTTTTGCACTGGTCTCGAATGTCCCTTTCCCCTCTGACCACATCTGCCTCTATTCCTGCAGTCCTCTCCGGCCCAGCACTTCGGCACTTCCTTCGAAGGCAGGCTCTTCCCCCAGCTCTAACCTGGATGCCCCTTCTTGCCCTTCAGGTCACTTTCTCACAGTGTCACTTTCTCAAAGAAACCCCTGACTCTCCACCCTCCAACAGGTATTCTCCATTGTCATATGGCACAAGTTTTACTGCTCTTTCATAGCATTTATCGATCTGTAACTATTTATTTGAACTATTATTTGTTAAATAATCTGTACTACGAGACTGCAAGCTTGTAGAAGGAGATGATAGCAATTTTACTCCCTGTTATATCCCCAGCATTTGGCTTGATATAAGTGCTCAAGACTCCTTTCTAAGAATAACAGAATAAACCCTTTAAGAGTGAAGAAAGCCAATTGGTGGATGTCTTGGTGGGGGTGGGAAAGAGAGCTAAATGCAAAGAGGCACAAGGGATCTTTTTAGGGTATTAGAAATATTCTAAGATGACTGTGATGACAGCTACACAACTCTGAAAAGTTATCAAAAACTGCTGAATTGTATCATTTTATTTTATTTTATTTTATTTTATTTTAGAAATAAGGTCTAACTCAGCCAACAAGGCTGGAGTGCAGTCTCACAACCACAGCTCACTGCAACCAAACTCCTTGGCTCAAGGGATCCTCCTGCCTCAGCATCCCAAGTAGCTGGGATTATAGATATGAGGCACTGCAAATTGTATAAATTTCGAGCCCAGGAAATTATACAATTTTAAAGAGTGCATTTTATGGCATGTAAATTATACATGCATACATTTTA